TGGAATATTACAGTCATAAAGAAGGACAAACATATGGACTTCGCAGCAACCTGGATGGATTTAGAGTCTATCATACTCAGTGATCTATCACAGAAACAAAGAACAGAGTACACATGTTCTCACTCAGAAGCAGACCCTGAACATTTATCATAATACTATAAGAAAGGGATTGGCAGTAGTGGTATACTGCTGAGGTGGGGGAGACACACAACATCAATAGGAGTACCTAGGGTACCTGATCTCAAACCAGGCAAAGTGGGGACCAAAGGGAGGCCCAAACTTTACCTGTACAATGACCACTTGTATACCTAATCCGGAATTGTATTCAACATCTTTAAAATAAAAAAATAAAAAATAATGTAGCCAAACTTGCCAGTCTTTCCTTTATGGTGTGTTGTATGTACCTTGTTTAGGAAGTCCTTCTTCTTTTGCAAGTTCATAAAGATATTTTTCTATATTTTTCTTCTGAAAATTTTGCATTTTAAATATATCTAGGCTTTAAATATATCTAAAATTGATTTTTTGTGAATGTTACAGAATAAAGATATTATTTTATTTTTTCCATATGTGTAAAAAATTTTTTTAATTAAAAAAATTAAAAAGTTGTCTGTGGGACCGAGAAGTATAAAGTTAAAAAATAAAAACACTGGACAGTAGATGAAGGAAAGAGTTGATGGGAAAAGCAAATCCATGTTTAATTTTTCCAATTTCTATTTCATTGATATGGTTCCAGAAAAAAAAATCAATCACAAGGGATATATAACATAGGCATGATGTAAGATAAAAAATGTTCATGTCAACATACTATCTAGTTTTGTGACAGACTAATAGAATGATGACAGTTTAAATTTCTTAAACATGATCAAGCATTTAAAAGTTTACATTAATGAAAACCTAAAAATATTTGCTTTTTTTGAATACCTGGAAGGTTTCCATTGCAATCCACATCTTCTATGCTGCATCCCCATTTAACAAGAAGTTGCAAACAACCAAGCCGCCCATGAAAAGCTGCATAATGTACAGGTCTCCATTCTCTCTTATCAGTCACACTGGGATCCTAGAGGTAACATTCACAAGGACTCAGTTTCTTTCCATTTTGTAGGGAAAACACTAAGCCTAGTAGCTTAATTCTGCAAATAGGCTGAAGGCTATTCTTAAAACTGTAAGGCAAACACTAAACGCAAAAGAAAAATTTACAGTCACCAATAATTTGAACATATGAGTTAATAAGACATTAGTGAATTTTTATAAAATAGCCTTTTAAAAAATAACTAGTCACATAAAAAATAGTTTTTAAAAAAGGAATTAACTAGTCACAGATTCCTGACCAATAAAAGGGATAGATTTAATGAACAAGTAATAACATTGAGAACATAAGCAAAGAGTTAATTAAAAAATACTGAATGAGTTTTCACTATCTAACTGTAGAAACATCAATTCTTACCGAAATGTCTTCAATAAAGGTAGTTGTCATCTTATAATAAGTTAGTTTTTAATCACTATGCAATAATAAAAATAAATACTGCAATATATAAACACAATTTCTGGGGGCAAAAATCACTTTCTAATTTAGTGTATAAAATAAGAGCTTCGCCGGGCTCGGTGGCTCAGCCTGCAATCCCGCGCTTTGGAAGGCTGAGGTGAGTGGATTGCCTGAGCCCGCGGGTTCGAGACCCGCCTGGGCAACTTGGTGAGACCTCATCTCTACAATAAATTTAAAAAAAATCAGCCAGGCATGGTAGCGCAAGCCTGTGGTTCCAGCTACTTGGAAGGCTGAAGCAGAAGGATCGCCAGAGCCCAGCAGGTCTAGGCTGTGGTGGCCGGGAGCGGCCACTGCACTCCAGTCTGGGTGACAGAGTGAGACCCCAACTCAAAAAAAAAAAAATAAGAGCTTCAAAAGAAACACATAGGTAGACACACAGAAATTCATAAAGACTTAAAATCACCTGGGTAAGATTTGTTTGAAGCTTCAGAATCTATGCAGTAAAACTCTGAACTGAAGAACCCAAAACCTCTGAAATACTCTGTAATACTAAATTGGTTTTAGAGGGCAGGGGGGAGATTTGTCAGAATTATTGCTCCCATGTTTAAAGATGGAAAAGCTACAAAGAAAAATACTTTCCTAAAGTCATATAAGGGATTTAAAAAGTCAGGAAGGAATAAATAGACGATCAAATAATATTCCATCTATATGATCATACACTAATACATATTAACAGGAGTCCCTCACCACTCCACTTCGGAGCATTATTTGTAAAGTGAAAGAATGTCCGTGAGTTGCAGCAAGATGTAAAGGAGTGCATCCACGGTCATCTTGAGCTGTCAGATTTGCTCCATTGATTATAAGAGCCTAAAAATAGAGAAATGGGAATGAGTTTATATGAGTATAGCTGTTAAACCATAAATGCAGATGCAAACAATTTACTAACCTATAGCTAAATTATTTTGTATGTTCTTACATAGGTGCTATAGGCAAATTGTGAGATATTCTTAGCTGGTCCTAAGAAAACGCTTGAAGTGAAGGGAGGGAGCTGGTGGCCACTAGGCAGAACTGGCAGAGACTGCCGGTTTCATAACCATCACTCCTCCTGGCTGACTAGTGGGCTGTAAGGCCTGGGTCGAGTCTGGCCCTATGGGACCACTCTGAGAGGAGGCCACCAGGGAGCAAGCGGTCTGGAAGCTCAGGTACATGTTAAGATTTTTTGGCAGTTTAGCATGGAAGCAATTGATCACCTTACCCTCATTTCTACCTGTTCTGTCTTAACAAGGGAGAGTGCTCATATGAGCAAGATATCACAGAAAAACAGTACTCCAGGGGTGAATGGAGTAAGTGATATTCATACTGAGGCACATACCAACGGCTTACAGCAGGTTCCTAAGCTGGTGCCTGCTGGCCCTGAGGGAGGAAGCAAAGCTGTGGCTTCCAGCAAGCAAAGTAAAAAGGGTTCCACCATGGATCGAAATAGTGACAAGTATCGTCAATGCAGAGAGAGGAACAACATGGCTGCGAAAAAGAGACAGATGAAAAGCAAGCAGAAAGCAAAAGATACACTGCAAAGAGTGATTCAGCTCAAAGAAGAGAATGAACAATTGTAAGCAAAAAATTGCTGACTAAAGAATTAAGTATACTGAAAGATTTGTTTCCTGAGTATGCACACAACTCTGCAGATAACATGCAACCTATTAGCACTGAAAATACAGAGTCTGATAATGCAAGACTGTAGACCTCACTCTTTACACACTTTACAACTTGTGGCTTGAACATTAAAGGTGTGACCACCTGCATCACTTATGTCAATGTTGTCTTGTTCCATTATTCAAAGACCCATTGGAGGTTATTTTCTAGGATCAGCACTGAAGAGCTGATTAGCTAAAAACGTTAGCCATGCCATTTGAATACTTGGTTTTAAATAAGGATTTTTGTGAGGATCCAAAACCAAAAATTTTAGCAGTATAAAGTATAAACACCAGCTTCCTAAGAAACGCTTCTTTTTTAAGTTGACAAAAGGAATGGGAAACTGGCAGGCTGTGCAGAAGGTTCTTGGTTTTAATGGATATGGTTAATTGGATTAAGAAAAGTTGAATGCCATCTGTGTTAACCTATTTGTGAATTTATTATAAATTATGTATTATAAATCCTTAGAGCTAGAGAAGCCAAACAGTTTGTAATTTGAAGTGATTTCAACATAATGTAACGTAATATACTTTTGAGGGGAAAAAAAAGTGTTTAGTGATGTCAGGTTAATTAAAGAAACCCCATAACATGTTAAAGGCAGTATGCAGCCAAGTGACTTAAGAAGCAGATTGTTTTTTTAAAAAGGAAAACATACTAGAATTATGCTTTTAGGATACCTTTGGGGTTATTAGATTTGACATTCTTTTGTCCTAAGAAAAACAACTCAGTGGTTTAGAGAAACTTGGGTATAAAAATTGCAGTTTCTGCAGATGCTAGTAAAGTAAGCATTTTTGGGGATGCTGTTTTCACAGTCTGGTTAGCAAACAAAATGTCTTAATAGCTTGATGACACAAGCTACTGATGAGGATCAGGAATATTATTAATTCAGCAGGTAATGTTTCTTGTGTTCAAATTAACTGCCATGGGGCATGAGTTTTAAAGTAAAAAATTTCTTGTGAAGGATCATTTTGGCTGATCTTAACCAAGTGATTATTAGAAAAAGGTATCAACTCCATGCCATCTCCCAAAATAATCGTCTAAGAAAACTTGAAAGTGTAAGGTTTAACCTTTCATGTATTTCACCTAAATATATCTTTTTACATTGTTCATTGTTTTGAGACATTTCTCTTTCTAGTTAATGGACTGTACTTCCAGATTTTATGTACCACTGCTTCTGCTTATTCATTTATATGCTTCTGTGTCACATAAATTATTTTAGAAACAACATACTGATTGATAAAACTCAGAATACTGACATTTTTGTTGAGACAAAAAATAGCAGTCATTAAAGTAGGAAGTCTCTAGAGTCTGGTTTATATCAATGTTAATAGTTTAGATTGTCTTTGTTATCTTCCCACTCTCCCCCCACTTTTTTTAAAGCACAATTCTAACTAAAAAAAGAAATGAAAATTCTTGAGGTCTTTTTAAACATTGTCTAGGAGACATTTATAATATTGATTTTACATTCTGACTTGAGCATGCACATACAATTTATAAGGCACATATCATGCACACAGATTAATAACCTCTAAACTAAATATTTTAATGCTAAGTTAATAAAACTGAAATTTAAATTTCCACTATTTCAAAAGCAGAATATTTTATTAACTGGGTTCTTGAAATCAATAAAATAATCTAATGATTAAAATAACTAGTTCTAAGCCCCAAATCAAGTTTCTAACCATATCTAAGGAGATTACATCTGAATTTACAATTGGCCCAGTTTCCATATATGGGTTATATAATACAGTACACCACCCCTCTACATAGTATACAGAGCAATTAATTGGTTTAAAAGAATTATCAGTCCCATGGAATATTATGCAGTCATAAAGAAGGATAAATATATGGACCTCGCAGCAACTTGGATGGATTTGGAGTCAATCATACTCAGTGATCTATCACAGAAACAAA